TTTTTTTTTTTTTTTTTTTTTTTTAGAAGGAGTTTCTCTGTAGCTTTGTAATCTGTCTTGGAACTCACTCTGTAGACCAGGCTGGCCTCAAAATCACAGAGATTCACCTGTCTGTGCCTTCTGAGTGCTGGGTTTAAAGGCGTGTGCCACCACCCCTGGCAGCAATGTTTGCTATTTATTTGTGTATGGATGATTTTGGCTGAATATATGTATGTGCATGCCTGGTGCCCATGGAAGCCAGAAGAGGGCCTTGAATCCCTTATAACTGGAGTTAACAACCATGGTTGTGACCCGCTATCTGGGTGCTAAGAATTTAACCCAGGACCTCTGGGAGAGCAGCCAGTGCTCTGAACTGCTGACTCATCTGTGTTTGAGTGTTTTTTTGAGGCAGGGTAACATAGGTTCCAGACTGGCATCTAACTCACTGTGTAGCCAAGGGCGATCATAGACGTCTGATTCTCTTGCTTCCACCCTTCACACGCCAGGATTACACTTGCACTATGTGGTGTTGTGATCAAATCCAGAACTCCAGTACGCTAAGGAAGCACTCTACTAACTCAGCTACATCTTAGCAACCCATTTTCCGAACCTTCACTGTTTTTATTTTTTGAGACAAGCTCTTGCTATGTAGCCCAGGCTGACTCTGAGGTAAGTGGTCAGAGATGACTGTGAACTCATGACCCTTCAGCCTCCAGTTCCTGCATTCTGGGATTCTAGGCTTGACCCAGCATGCTCTGTTTCTCTGCAATATTTTCATCCTTTCTTCTCTTGCCACAGCTTGGGTCCTCTGGGCTCTGGAGGCTTCACGCCTTTTGGTGTCAGTGGAATTCTCCAAGGTGCAGCAACATGCTTCTTTGCCTTCATTGGTTTTGATTGTATTGCGACTACAGGTATGGTAGTCCCTCTGGCCTATCAAAAGCATAGACATGGTTTGGATTTACCCTTGGACACAGGGCTGGTAGAGGGTTAGACTGCTTTGGGGAGTGTAGGAGGGGAGAGGGTTTGTGAAGTGACCTGGGAATGCTTCTGAATCCAGGTCTGTTTCATCCCTGCAGGGAAAGAGGTTCGCTGTCCCCAGCGCTCCATCCCACGGGGCATCCTGGCCACACTCTTAGTTTGCTTTCTAATGTATTCTGGTGTTTCGGCGGCACTTACCCTCATGATGCCCTACTATCAGATTCACACTGACAGTCCCTTGCCCCAGGCATTTATCCACGTGGGATGGGGTCCTGCTCGATATGCGGTGGCTGTGGGAACATTATGTGCCCTTTCATCCAGGTTGGTATCACAGGTTTCTCTCATCTGCTGCTGGATTCTCAGCCTCTGAGTCAGAGAGAGGAGAGGGAGGCAAAAACGTCTAAAGGAGTAGGGCTCACCTATTGTAACTATTAAGAGTTTCCTTTTCCCTTATAGCCTCATGGGTGCCATTTTCCCCGTGCCTCGGGTGGTCTATTCCATGGCAGAGGATGGGCTCCTTTTCCGGAGACTCGCCCGTGTTCATCCTCGAACACACACCCCTGTCCTAGCCACTGTCCTTTGTGGAATCATCACAGGTAGCTAACTAGTCTTATGAATTTCATCAGCTTGGCTATATCCACTAGCCAGTTCCTCAGAGTTTCTACACAGATTTCTATTCTTATCATTATAGCCCTTATGGCTTTCCTTGTTGAGCTCAGTGACCTGGTGGACCTCACAACCATAGGAACCCTGCTTTCCTACTCCTTGGTGTCCTTCTCTGTTCTGGTCCTCAGGTAAGCCTCCACCACACCTGGCCTGAGGGTGATGGGGCCATGAAGATGGCCAGGTGCTTATTCTGGCTGTCGGATGGCTACATGGGGGCAGCTGGTAATGTTCCCACGCTACCTCACTCATTCAGGTACCAGCCAGACCAGAACTTGAGCTCTCGTCAGACGAAGGAACCGGAGAGTGGAGCTGTTGAGATGGAGCCCGCTCTTGAACGTTCTTCATCTTTGGAGCCTATTTCTGCAGCAGGAACTCTAGGAATTGCAAGGAGCCTCTGTAACCCCACAGATAAGAATCCGACACTGAGATCTGGCCAGATTGTGTATGGATGTGCCTTCCTGCTTGGTGAGGACTGAGACTTTCCCCTTGGGCATTTGGGAGGAAGCTGACAGCGTGGGGAGGACATCACTAGCAGAGGGGAAGACGCAGCACAGATTTGGTAAGATGCCATATGTGTGGCCCAGGGTCCTGACATCCTTCTCCCCGCTGTGACTTTCAGTTCTCCTGCTGATGTTCCTTTGCCTGGTCCTGGCCCAGTGGCCCGGACAGCTCTTCTCTGGAGACCTCGTTCTGATAGCTGTGGCTGTGTCACTGCTGCTTCTCATTGTCGGGGTGGCCCTTGTCATCTGGAGACAGCCTCAGAGTACCACTCCTCTCCACTTCAAGGTAGGCGACACTTTCCTTAGGTAAGCCACCCTAAGAGAGTGGTCATGCCTGACTTCAGGTCTAAGCATGTTTTACATCTCGGGAAGGAAGTGGTGGGGAACTGATAATAGCCAACGAACAGTCGGCATGGTGGTCCTTGTCTTTAATCCCACCCAGCACATAGGAGGCAGAAGCAGGGGAAGTCTCTGAGGCTTTTTTTTTTTTTTTTTTTTTTTTTTGGGTGGGGGAGAGACAGGGTTTCTTTGTGTCATCCTAGTCCTGGCTGTCCTGGAACTCACTCAGTAGACCAGCCTTAAAAATCACAGAGATCTACCACCTCTGCCTCCCCGACTGCTGGGGTTAAAGGCGTGCACCATCACTGCTCAGCTGGAATCTCTGAGTTTAAGGCTAGCTTGGTCAGGCCAGCAAGGGCAACATAGTGATAGCATGTCTCACAAACAATCAATCAATCAAACAACCCCCTCCCAATACACCAATGGACAGAGTCAGGTATCACTGTGCGTGTATGATCCCAGATACTCAGGAGGCCGAGGCAGGAGGGTCATACCTTAAAGTCCACCAGAGGCTGCAGCTACTTCTAGTCCAGATCAGGCGATTTAGTGAAATTCTGTCTCAAAATAAAAACTAACACAGATATGTTGGCACATGTTTATACACCGTTAATCCCAGGGAACCAGAGGTAGGAAGATCGGGAGTTCAAGTGAGTTGCATGGTAGCACTCGTCTTTAATCCCAGCACTTGGGAGGCAGAGGCAGGTGGCTCTCTGTGAGTTCAAGGGCAGCCTGGTATACAAAGCAAGTTCCAGGACAGTCAGGCATACATAGAAATTCTATCTCAAAAAAAGAAAAAGAAAGATTGACCAGGCTTAGCTACATGGAGTCCTGTCTCAAAGAACTAACCAAAGAAAAACAACCTTCCAAAAAACAAAACCAAGTAAAAATACTCCTCCCAACCAAAACCCAACAAATCCCAAAGTGCCCTTAGCCCCCAAGTCCGGAGAAGTGTAGAGTACTTGCTTAATAGGCATGAGGATCTGGATATAATCCCCAGTACTGTAAAAGGCAGGTAGGAACATTATAAGCTGGTAGAACAATAGTTTGGAGTGCACGAAGCCTTGGGCTTAATCCAAGCCCTGCAAAAACCAGGAGTGGTGGTGTATTACTATAATCCTAGCGAAGCAGAACCAGGGCCTGGAGGATCAGAAGCTCAGGCTCCTAGAGTTCTGGGTCAGCCAGGGATACTTGAGACCCTATGTCCAAAAAAGACATCTGCTGACAGGGGTGGTGGCACATGACTTTAATCCCAGTACTTGGGAGACAGGGGCATGTAGTCTGAGGCTAGCCTGGTCTATAAAGCAAGTTCGAGGACAGCAAGGGCTACACAGAGAAACCCTGTCTTGAAAATGAACCAACTAAACAAAGAAGTGATTTGCTCACAACTCCTAGCTCAGTCTCTGTCTCTGTCTCTGTCTCTGTCTCTGTCTCTGTCTCATTCTTTTCGAGAAAGGGTTTCTCTGTGTAATAACTCTGACTGTCCTGGACCTCATTCTGTAGACCAGGTTGTCCTTGAACTCACAGAGATCTGCCTGTTTCTGTCTCCCCCAGTGCTGGGATTAAAGGCTTGAGCCACCAACCACCTGGCCCAGCCTAGTATTTCTGTGCTCAGTATCTGTCCCTGCTGGCACATCCCATGGGGTCTCCAGTATGAGCAGGCACTGACTGCAGAGCCTAGACAGCAGCTGGGACTTCCACCCTGGGGGTGTGTGTACACACCAGTACTCACAGGCTGTGACCACAGGTTCCAGTACTGCCCCTGCTCCCTGTGTCGAGTATCTTTGTGAATGTCTACTTGATGATGCAAATGACTGCCATGACCTGGACTCACTTTGGAATCTGGATGGTGATTGGTGAGTGAGCAGCTTTCTGGGGAAGAGATTCTTGGGCAACTAACTGGGTTCAACACTCTTTTCATTGCCTCTCTTTGAAACTGTCTGGGGCCACATGGAGAATCCCTGATGGGCACCCAGGTAGAGGACACCCAAATAGAGGTGTGAACATTTCCACCTCACTGTTTCTGTTTCTTTTTTGCTGTTGTTGTTATTTTATTTTTTTTTGAATTTCATTTTACATTCCAACCACAGTTCTCCCCTGACCCCTCCTCCCACCTCCCCCTTTTCCCCCCAGCCCACCGCCATCCACTCTCAACAGGTAAGTGCTCCCAAGAAAAATCAACAAAGTTCGGCAGGACCAAGCCTCTCCCCGCGGCATTAAGGCTGAGCATGGCATCCCACCGTAGGGAATGGGCTCCAATAGTTAGCTCATGCACCAGAGATAGATCCTGGTTCTCTATTCCTTTTTAGGATTTGCGATCTACTTTGGATATGGTATCCGGCACAGCCTGGATGGGAGGGATGACCAACAGCCAACAGCAACAGCCTCAAGCTCTCAGGCTGTCCAGGAACATACGTCCAGTGTGGAATTAGAGTAACTGCAGAAAGACCCTGTGGCTATCTGTGTTTGGTGGGGAGACAGTACTGGTCACTGAACTTAGAGCCTTGTGCATCTGAGGAGAGACTTGCCGGTATCTTCAGCTTAAGGAAAGGCTTGAATATTTGGGCTGTAGATGGGATTTATTTTGAAAGCATTGTTATTTGTGAGCAAATTTCTTAACTTTTTTCCTCTTTATTCCCTGAAATGGGATCCATGGTTTTGCATATGCTAGGCAAGTGTTCTATCACTGAGCCACATCCCTATCCCCTCTAGTTATTTAACTGAAAATAAAAATTAAATTATGTTTTTGAACATCATATTACTTATATATTATAGGATGGGTAACTAAATCAAGCTGATTAATAAACTGCTTTTTTTTTTTTGGATGAGGTCAGTCTTATGTGGCGCAGGTCAGCCTTGAAATTGATCTTCTGAATGTTACTTATTATTATTTACTTATGTTGTTGTGGGGTATTCAGCAGAGCAGACTGCTCAGACATGGGTTTAAGCCAGTAGTCTTTATTAGCTGGCCAGCGACTACACTGGGTGCTTGGGATCGCAGTGTAGCATTAAGCTTTTCTCATGATGAGCTTTTTAAGCACAAAATATATTCTAGGCTAACCTATTTCATTTAGTTAACAAGTACTGTTAGCTAGAAGAGGAACTATAGAAGCACAAAAGCAAGATTAGTGGGGCTGGAGAGATGGCTCAGTGGTTAAGAGCATTGCCTGCTCTTCCAGAGGTCCTGAGTTCAATTCCCAGCAACCACATGGTGGCTCACAACCATCTGTAATGAGGTCTGGTGCCCTCTTCTGGCATGCAGGCATACACACAGACAGAATATTGTATACATAATAAATAAATAAATATTTAAAAAAAAAGCAAGATTAGTGCATTTATTTTTTTTAATTTTTTTTTAATTATTTTGGTTTTTCGAGACAGTGTTTCTCTGCGTAGCTTTGGAGCCTGTCCTGGAGCTTATTCTGTAGACCAGACTGATCTTGAATTCACAGAGATCTCCCTGCCTCTGCCTCCTGAGTGCTGGGATGAAAGGTGTGTGCCACCACTGCCTGGCTAGATTAGGACATTTAGAGACCTTGCCAGATCTATGGATTTTGGATTAGGTCTTTGTTTTTATTTTTGGCAGGTGGTGCCGTCTATGCTGAGTTTTCCAGCCTGAATGGCATTTCCATCACGGAGTCAGTTGTGCTAGCCTGGGGCCTGTTACCTTCCTGACTGGTCTTAGTGGATGAGCCAAATCATGAACGCGTTCTGTTTTAGTTTAAGTTGTGGGTTCCCAAAAGGCAGGTGTTGGTGCATACCTTTAATCCCAGTACCAGAGAAACAGAAGTCAACCTGGCCTACAGAGACAGTTCCAGGACAACCACCAGGACTATACAGAGAAACCCTGTCTCCAACACCTGTTCCTGTCCCCAGAAAAAAGAAAACATAGTAGGGCTCCTGCTGTTAATCCCGTCGGAATTAACAGCCCGGTCAGTGCTGATAGCAGAATAACTCTGTCAGGGGGACCAAGAAAACAGATTGGTACCGATTTTTTCCCCAACAGTGGCAAGCTTTCTTTCTTTTTTAAAAAATTACTCTGATCAATTAGCATAGATTTTCCCCAAAGCTATACATAGTTTTCCTTATCTCATGAGAAGTCGAAGGCTCTCCAATTTTGTAGGACCATGTCTGCAAGGAAATCGAACTGTTGCAATTTAGAAATGGAAACTCTTAATACCTCTTGGTCCTGATCAACCCGTCTGTTTGGCTTTACCCCAGCCCCTGGCATCCATATATTCAGAGTCTGAAATGTTTGGGTGGAAGTTTCATCCCAAGCCCCCTCCCCTGCAAATTGCCTCAGTCTAGACTCCACTTGCGATAAAGCCCACCAAACTATATCCCTCCCCCCTCCCCAGAGATGCTCAAGACCACTCCCACAAGGTATTTAAACTGCTCCCTAGAGAACAACCCGTGGTTTTCTGGTCTTCCTTCCCGGTCTCATCTGGGGGGGGGGGGCTTGGAAGGCCACCTGGGAGCATTGGCGTCCATTAAACCTGTGCCTTTTCTAATTAGGTTTGATTTGTTCTGATTTGGATTATTGCGTCAGTGGATCGGTTTATGGGGCACAAAAACTTCTCATGGTCTACTTAGTTTGGAAAGCATCAGAAGAGGCACAGAGCTGGGTGTTGGTAGCTCACGCCTTTAATCCTCAGTAGGCAGAGGACCTGCAGCATTTTATTTTTAACATTACAAGCAGGAGGTAGAGGGACAGGGAGTAGAAGGTCTGGGGGCCCAATGGAATTTTAATTTTAGTGGGTCCACAGTCCAGAGACGGGCCATTTGGCACCTGTGGTTTCTACTTTCTTGACCTAGGTGTGGTGGATCCATGGTGTAATGCCAACTACCTTCATTGCCATAGGAGTGGAGAGTATCACCTTGGAGGGTCCTTTTCAGGTTAGTTCTAGCACCCTTTTGGTTCCTTGTTTGACCCAGAGAGTATCACTAGACTCAAACAAAAGGAAGCTGCTGGTGGACTGAGGTTGGGTAGATCTCTCAGATAGTCAATGAATAGCCTGTATGGAGAACTAGCGTGCCTGTTGTGACTTGAGAGAGGAATGGCTAGAGAGTTCTGTCAACTGCTGCCCTCTGAGCATCGGAGACAGTGGAGTAAGTCTTCTAAATAGTACCTCATAGGGGGTAGATGTCTTCCTCTGTGGGGTGCAGCAGGCAGAAACAAGGAATGCATGCTTCAGGTCCAAGACAGTGAACACCTGTTTCTTTGGATGACTCAGCCTCATGAGAATCAGAGGTTCCAGGCTTCTTTGTAGGCAGGAGAGGTTCATTCCCGGGTACTGACAGGGACCAGGATGCCTGTCACTTCAAGCCAGCAATATGGATTGCAATAGTCCTTTTGTTTCCAGGGTCATTGGGTATTCTTAATTTGGATGGAGGTAGCTGAACTGGTTAATTGAACAACTATTGGAGCTTGGTGTTAGGCCAGTCCTGAAGGTTGGGTTCTTCTGATAGAGTGTGAAACACCAAAATTTTATTGGGTTTCTGTAAATTTGTCTTATCATCAGAGAAGGTGACGGAGGCTTTTTTTTTTTTTTTTTGGTTTTTCAATACAGGGTTTCTCTGTAGCTTTGGAGCCTGTCCTGGAACTAGCTCTTGTAGATCAGGCTGGCCTTGAACTCACAGAGTTCCACCTGCCTCTGCCTTCCAAGTGCTGGGATTAAAGGTGTGTGCCACCACCACCCTGCAAAGGTTTTTAATGTATGTAAAAGGTCTTGTTTCAATCAGTTAAACATCCTTTAAGTTACCTTTTGCATCTGGAACATACTTATACCTTAAGTTTTTAAAAAATTTTTATTACTTTTTAAATATTTGGGGCCAACTGAGTGACAAAGGGAATTTCTTTTAGTAGCTGTCTTTAATCCTTTAAAAAAGGACTTAGTGAAAGTTGTTTAAAGTCTCCCTAATTAGTGTTGGAAAGAAAGGAAAATCCATTCTGTCTAGGCTGTAATTGTCTGTCCGAGAGCCCCCTGACGAGATCACAGACAGTGTTTTACCCCCCACTTACTTTATCAAACGAAGATATAAATCATGAAAGAGAAAGGAGTAGAATGCTCTCTTTTACCTTCAACTTAGCTCAGGGGAACTTTCCTCCTTCCCTGAGCCTGTTCAGGGCAGGCAGGGAACCTGGGTGAACTATTTCCCCCTCCTTGTGTGCAGTTTGCTTAGAAAGCTGGGGGCCCTAGATGTGAGGCCCCATCTCTCCCCATCCCCCACGCAGGGACCAACCCTGTGAGCAGGAGGACAGCAACAAAACAAGCGAGCTCTCCTGCTCCTGTAGTGGGGCAGGTGGAGGGTTTTTTTTTTTTTCTTTCTTTCTTCCTGTTTTTTTCTCATGACCTAGCAGAGTCAAAAGGATTCTGGTCCCCAACCTGAAGTGACAGACCAGGACATGTGTACTCCTTAAAAATGTCCGCCAGGCACAGCTTCCTCTCTTGCCTCCTTTTTCCTCTCATACCTCTCTTCTTCCTCTTGTCTCTTCCCTTTTCTCTCTGTCTGTCTGCCTGCCTCTCTCATGTCCCCACTTCAACGTGGCCTTTTGCTTTTTCACCCTCCCCCCCACCCCCAATAAACATGCTTCAACTCTGTTGTGCATGTATTTGTTTTCTGGCATACCTCCTCATCCCCTGTTTCCACTTCCCCAAGTGTTGGTATTACAGGTGTGTACCATGCTGCTCAGTTTCTTCCCTCCCTCCCTCCCTCCCTCCCACCCACCCTCCCTCCCTCCCTCCCTCCCTTCCTTTTCTGTCTGTCTGTCTTTCTTTTGACAGGGTTTCTCTGTGTAACAGCTCTGGATATTCTGGAACTTGTTTCATAGACCAGGCTGGCATTGAACTCACAGAGATCTGCTTGCTTCTGCCTCCAGAGTAAAGGGATTAAAGGCGTGTGCCACCACCACCTGGCCTTCCTTTCTTATCCCTTCTGTCTCCAGTTTACAAAGCAATAGTGAGCAAGAGAGAGCCCAGCTCCATTGGTAGTGGGGAGGGAGTTCTGGGCCCCTTCTGATATCGGCATGGTGTATTCAGAAGTGGGCAATGAGGAGCATAGCATCTACAAGGATATTTGAACATGAAGCCTAGTGCAGGAGGCAGGCTGCTTCTGAAACCTGAGTCTGGCACTGTGAACATGCCCAGAAAACTCCAAAAATCTTTTTTTGTTTTGTTCTTGAGACAGGGTTTCTTTGTGTAGCTCTGGCTGTCCTCAAACTCACAGAGCTCTCTGCCTGCCTAGCTGCCTCCCTAGTGCTGGGATTAAAGGGGTGCTTCACCATTGCCCGGAGAGGACTCAAAATTATTAACATATTATCAATACATATACAACACAATAATGAGAAACCTTAGCTGAGATATAACACCGAGTAAAACAAACATATCTCTTTCTTCAGCCCTAGATTCTTTGTCTTGACCAAGTTCCATCAGACAGTCCTGGGTGTCAGGCACACCACTGTCACACAACTGAAGTTCTCCTCCTGCATCTCCAAGGAACTTTGAGCATTTGAACCCTTTCCAGATTTTTATTTTATTATTATTATTTTTAATATATTGGCACTTGGTCTTGAGCTCTATCTATTCCTTCTTTTTCTTTTTTCATTGATTAATTTTTTTTCATTTATTTTACATCCCATTCTAAGTTGCTCCCCCATACCCACTACTCCTATGTCTCCAGTCTGAAAGGACGGCCCTCCCATGGGCATCAGCAAAGCATTATTCCTTTCTGGGCTCCAGAAACTTTAACTCTAGTTCCACTCCTATCAAACCCAGGCCCTTAGTCCCAGGCTCCTCCCCAAGTTTATCATCCCCTCATTCTAGCCCTCTCACAAGAAGGCTTAGATCCCATCTCTGTTCCCCACATCCCACCTAGGACTCTAGGAAACATGTCATGGTTCCCTCACCAAGACAAGTGCTCTCAGCCCCCTGCCTCCATCTGCAATGTTCACTGGCTGCATTAATTTACAAACAGTTGATCTGACTACACAAATCCAGTCCAAAGTTACTTTTTTAATGAATAAATAATTGTGTTACACTTAGTATTTACTTTGTATATTATCTTTGTAGAGAACACTGTGATGTTTTAATACATATATACAATGGAGAATGACTGAACCGAAGAAACATCCATCACCTCACTTGTGTGGTGAGATTTTTGATATACTTCCTCATTTTAATGTTAGGAATTCCTGTGACTCTCCTGACATGCCATAGTGGTTTTCCTTTGCATTTCCTTGCTGAGGAACGAGGTGGGACACATTTCCATCAACTTACTGGCCACCTGGTGATCTCTGACATGTAGCCTCTTGTGTCTCTGTTGACTGTGGGATTCCTGGTGCCTCGGGAAGTCTGCAGATTGGTGCACACCTCACTCTGTTCCTCACCTTTCTTTTTTTCTTCATCAACAGACTCTAGTCTGATGAAGTCTAATGATCTTTTCCCTTCAGTGTGGTCCATGCACTAAGAAATCACTACTTAATCCAAGATGGAAACAGTCATCCTAATGCCATCTCGGTCGCATTCCAAGGGAACCCACAGGGGTCTACCTGGAATGGCTCGTGTTAACAATACTAATGGTGATGACCACAAGAACAGTGGTAGGCAGTATTTATGGAGCTGACAGTCTCCTAAGACAGTCTTAAGGAGTTTACATTTAGTTTCCATAGTGGGATTATCTATATGGGAAAGACGTGCACAGAACAGACATTTTACAAACACAGGCAGTCTTGCTATACAAAGGTTTTCAACTTTCTGATGGCACAAAAGCAGTCCAGACAATCATAGCCTTTTTTTTTTTTTGTTTTTGTTTTTGTTTTTTCGAGACAGGGTTTCTCTGTAGCTTTTGGAGCTTGTCCTGGACCTAGCTCTTGTAGCCCAGGCTGGTCTCGAACTCACAGAGACCTGCCTGCCTCTGCCTCCCCAGTGCTGGGATTAAAGGCATGAGCCACCACTGCCTGGCTCACAACCTTTTCAAATCACAACATTGCGAAAGTGTGTCCACACAACTATGGATTTTTCAGCTCTGTGACGGTGTGAAAGCATGTTCAATATAACTACTGATTTTTCAGTTTGACAAAAGTATGCCTGGTCTAATCACTGATGCTGTCAATTCTGTGAAAGCACACTCAACATGACCAGGTTTTTCAGCAGTACAGAAGCACAGACGTATACTGAACATAACTGCTTTTTCCATTTTATGACAGTGTGAAAACCTCTAAGCCACCACTTGATTTTTCAGCTCCAGAAAGGTGTGAAAACATATTCAATATCACTACTCAATTTTCAACTCTGTAGAAGTGAACTGAACCACAAGAACTGATTTTTGAACATCATGATGGTGTGAAAGTGTACCTAATATAACCGCAGATCTTTCAACGTCACGATGGTGTGGAAGCATCCTTGATACACCACTGATTTTCACTTTTAACACAATATTCAAAAAAAACTTTTCGAGGCGTGGTGATGCTATGTAGACTAGTCTGAAATCTGGTATGTTGCTCAGGCTAGCCTTGAACTCTCAATCTTCCTATCTCAGTCTCTTGAGATTACGGGCATGTGCTAGCATGCCTGACCATTAGTCAAGAAATTGTGTGAGCCTCTGTATTTTATTAGCGAATAGACTTTGTGTTAGATGATTTGCCCAGTGTTGGGTAAAGGCATGCTCTGAGCACACTGGAGGCAAGCTGGGTTAAGCTGTGGTGTTTGGTTGATAAGGTGTCTCAAGTGCATTTTCAACTGATCTCCTGCAGTGTAAGATGGATTTGTCAAGGGTGAGGAGCAGCTTGTGAGTGTCTCACCGAGAGCAAAGAGCTGGAATGGTGACGCTAGCTGGTACGGCATATGCCAAGACTAAAGGCTTTGTCACAAGTGTCACATGAGAAGGGTTGCTCCCCTCGAGTGAACCTAAATTCAATGAAAGGTGGAATGGTTTTGGGCATCTACGAATTTACGCAACAAACTTATCCAGTAAGAACACCAAGAGGAAAGGAGGTAATGGCTAAGGAAAGACCAACTCATCCAGTAAGAACACTAATACGGAAGGACATGATCACTAAGAAAAGTGACTTTTACACTCCCCCAATTTATTTCTAGTATGCCTTCTGATATCAAGCAGGCAAATGACCATGGTAGGCTTTCTTAAGATAGATTAATCACCAAGGAAAGAATGAATGTAGGGCAGAGGCCTTGGTGTGCTCTTCGTAGTCAATGTTCTCAATGTGCATGAGTCTTCGAATGTTCTCTTTATATTACTGTGAATCTTTCCATACTCCTCACATGGTTTTGCCATGTGAGTTTTCTCGTGCTGTCTGAGCTGATGGGCATGACTGCACACATTCCTTACGTTCATGGGGTTTCTCTCCTGTGTGAATTCTCTCATGCTTAAGAAGGCCTGATCCATATACAAAGTTCTTCCCACATTCCTTACATTTATAAGGGGTTTCACCAGTGTGAATTCGCTCATGTTTAAGAAGTCTTGATCCATATATAAAGTTCTTCCCACATTCCTTACATTTATAAGGGGTTTCACCAGTGTGAATTCGCTCATGTTTAAGAAGGCTCGATCGATATATAAAGTTCTTCCCACATTCCTTACATTTATAAGGGGTTTCACCAGTGTGAATTCGCTCATGTTTAAGAAGGCCTGATTCATACATAAAGGCCTTCCCACATTCTGCACATTTATAGAGTTTCTCACCTGAATGAATTCTTTCATGGTTAACAAGGCTTGAAAGCCAGTGAAAGGCTCTCCTACATTCCTTACACTCATGTGGTTTCTCGCTAGTGTGAAGCTTCCGGTGCCGAGTGAGGAAATTGACTCTAGTGAAGGACTTCCCACACTCTTGGCATTCAAAGGATTTCTCACCTGTGTGGATTCTCTCAGGCTGAATGAGGCTGGAATCACAAATAAAGGCCTTCCCACAGCCCTTCCACTCATAGGGCTTATCCCTACAGTGAATTCTCTTGTGCTGCATACATTTATAGAGGTGCCTGAAAGTCTCCCCACAGCCTTTACACTCATAGCGTTTCTCCCCAGTATGAAACTGCTGATGCCGAGTGAGTTTGTCGCCACACCTAAAGGTTTCCCCACAGTCTTTAAGTAAGTATGGTTTCTCCCCAGTGTGAATTCTATGAACAACAAGGCTCGAACCCCAGCAAGAGGCCTTTCCGAAGCTGTTACAATCATAAGGCTTCTCCCCGGTGTGAGTTTTCTGGTGCTGAGCAAGTGGATTGCAGCAGAGGAAGGCTTTCTTGCACTCACAGGGCTTCTCGCCAGTGTGAATTTGATGCTGACTAAGCAGATACCCATGACTGAAGACTTTCCAACAGCCCTGACATAAGAAGGACCTCTCTGTTTGAGGCCTCACATATGGTGCTGGTGTGCTATCTCTCTCAGTGGGTGCTTTTCCAGTACTGTCTGTTACATTATTGACATTTCCCTCTCCAGAGCCCCGCAGTTGTTCATTTTTACCTTCACCAATCCCATTAGGGTGGGGAGATAGACTTCGGTCACTTGGATTACTTTTGTAAAAGCTCGATCCATAAATGCTTCTTCGACTAGTTAAATGGTTGGTTCTATAGGATGATTGAGTATCTGGAAGAAAAATAACATTAAGAAAAAAATATTTATTTTATGTGCATGAATATTTTGATTGCATTTCTGTATATTCATTACAATTATGCCTGCTGTCACTGGAGGTCAGAAGGAGGCATTGATGCCTTAGAACTGGACTTACAGATGGTTGTGAGCCACCTTGTGAGTGCTGGGTACCAAACCAGGGTTTTTTTTTTTTTTTTTTTTTGTAAGAAGAGCAAGTGTTCTCAACTGTTGAGCCATTTCTGCAGCCCTCATTTGTTTCTTTTAAAGGGAAGAATCAGAAGCAAAACTCACCACAATTCAAAAGTTTCCCCAGCAGAATTGATAGTTTGGGACCAGAGCGGTTAGGGAGGGAACGCAGTGGGCACTCATGCTAAAGGCAAATGGGAAAGGACACTGACTGCTGCTCTGGGAATTCTCTGTAAGAGGGCAGAAGTGTCTTAAAAGCAAGCGATACAATGCATGCTGCAGGTGGTGAAATGATGTACTTGGAAAATCCAGGAAAGCCAATATAGGGCTGCTGTGGGGCAGAATACACATTCAGGATGACATGCATAAGCCTGCAGGACATTATGTTAAGGGAAATAAGCTAGGAACAGAATAACAAACACTCTGTGTTCTTATAATAAGAAATGTAAAGTTGGGTGGTGGTGGCGCACACCTTCATTCTCAGCACTCAGGAGGCCGAGACAGGTGGACGTCTGTGAGTTCAAGGCCAGCCTGGTCTACTGTAGTAGGAGTGGCGGGCAGAGTTCCCAGTGCCCGGCCACCCGCATGGTTAGCTTTACACCCGAAATAATTACACGGAAACTGTATTCTTTTAAACACGGCTTGGCCCATTAGTTTCAGCCTCTTACTGGCTAACTCTCACATCTTGATTAACCCATTTCTAATAATCTGTGTAGCACCACGAGGTGGCATCTTACCAGGAATATTCATAACCTGCATCTCTTGGAGAGAAGAGCTATGTTGACTGCCTCACTCGGCTTTCTTTCTTCCAGCATTCTGTTCTGTTTACTCCGCCTACCTAATTTTCTGTCCTATTAAAGGGCCAAGGCAGTTTCTATTTATCCAATGAAAGTAACACATAGACAGATGACTTTCCTCCATCAGTCTACAAGAGCTAGTTCCAGGACAGGCTCCAAAGCTACAGAGAAACCCAGTGTCAAAAAAACAAAACAAACACACAAAAAATCTTGATTGATGAAGTTGAGGGTAAAATCTGGGTATAGTGGCTTCACCTGCAATTAAAACACTTAGAAGGCAGAGACAGGAGGGTTGCCATAAGTTTGAGGCCAGCCTGGGATACATGGAGAGTTTCAGGCTAGCCAGTGGAACCTGAGTAAAAGAAAAAAAAAGTAGCAGGTAGAATACAAATTCCCCAAAGCTGGGAGGCTAAGAAGCAGGGAGTCAGGGAAGTTGTTTAGTTAACAATGCAGCAGATAAATAGGAAGATTAAGCTCTAGTACAAATGCTGTAAGGAACAGAGATTTAGAGCACTGTTTGTTTGTTTGTTTTTTTAAATGACTCAAGTTGTCCAGGCTGGCTTTGAACTTGGGAGGTGGTTAAGACTGACTCTTGATTTCTGCCTCTTAAGTGCTTAGATAGGTGGAGGAATATGTTACCGTGCCCAGCTTTCACATATTTCAAGATAATATTCTCACTACAAAGAAAAGATGAATTTGTAAAAATATATCATTTACTTATTATATATAGTGTTCTACCTGCATGTGTGCCTGCATGCCAGAAGAGGGCAGCAGATCTCACTACAGATGCTTGGGACCCACCATTGATTGCTGGGAAATGAAACTCAGGAAACCTGGAAGAGCAGTCAGTGCTCTTAATTTCTGAGCCATCTCTCCAGCCCCCAGGATGAATGCTTTATATAGTACAGAGATGAAATAAAAATAATGCTTTTCGTATGTGTATGTGTGACACACACATGTGCTACAGTCCACGAGTGGAGGTCAGAGGGCAGCCTGTGGCAGTTGGTTCTGCCCGTTTACCATGTGAGTTCTTGGGATCGAACTCAAGCTGCCAGGCTTGGCAGCAAGTGAATTGTCTTGCCAGCACCCTGAAGAAAAAAATTTACAAGCTCAAAAAACTTCCTAGTGTCTTGCTAATTAGCCAGACTTCAAGTTGCAAGGGTTTTGGCTCAGTCGCCCTAGGAATGTGATCACAGGTGTGTTTACCTCAGTTTTTTTTTTTTTTTTTTAAATCAGGAACTATTAGGTTGTAGTTATTGGAAGCTCAAAATGATATTGATAAAGGCTTCATAAAGGAGACAGCTTTAAGGAACAAGCAGGAAATCAGAAGATGAGGAAAACACTTGATCACAAAACCCTCAGGGTAAGTGGAGCAGGATGGCTGCCAGCATGCTTGAATTATTGCCAGAATCACTCTTCTGGTTCTGGGGATGGAACCCTGAGCCTTGGGCATGCCAGTCGAGGTACATCTTCAAACCCCAGATCTGGGGAGAAGGGGTAGGGAGATAACTTTGAGTTGTGTGTGTGTGTGTGTGTGTGTGTGTGTATATATATATATATATNGGGTTTCTCTGTGTAACAGCCCTAGCTAGCTGTCCTGGAACTAGCTCTTATAAACTAGCTAGGCTGTCTTTGAACTCACAAAGATCTGCCTCCCTCTGCCTCCTGAATGCTGGCATTAAAGGTGAGCACCACCACGGCCTGGCTGAATTGTATATATATTCTGCAGCCCAAGAACTACTAGTAATCTCCCTGCCTCAGTTTCCCAATGCTAGGATTATATGTGTGAGCTCCTGAATCCAGTTAGGAAGGCAGAATTAGAACTTTTTAATTCCTGATTTTTTTTTTTTGTTGTTGTTTTGATATGGGGTTTCACCTAGCCTGTAGCAGAAGCTGGCCTTGAAGTGAGCATGAACGGCCTCCTGCCTCTACCTCTTGAGGGCTGGTGGGATGGGTGTTTGTCATGATACCTTGTTTTTTTTTTTTTTTGCAGTGCAGGGGATGGCTGGGATTCTCATGCTTGCTAGGCAAGAGGCCAGTCAACTGAGCTGTATCCTTAGCCCTGTTTCTTTCTGAGACAGGTTCTTATGTGGCCCAGGCTGGTCTCAAACTCCTACGTGCTAACACTGCAGGAATGTGCTATCATGCCTGGCAAGTTCAGTTTCTGTCTTCTCTGTGACTAGTCATTTGTACTTGAGTATAATTGTCTCCTGCAGTGACGTAACCATGACTCACAAGCTTGTGAGAATGAAATGCACACACTGTGCTTTTAAGAGTGCATGACACATAGTAGGCCTAGCATTTACCTTTGTTCGAATTATTTTATTTTATGACATGGTCCTTATGGTGTTAGCCTCAAATTCTCAATCAAACTCACAATGGGACTGCAGGCACGTGCATCCAATACCAACCACAAGGTTCACGGACTGTAACTCCCGATCTCACTTCCGGTACAGTATGCTGGCAATGGGAATCTACTCATTTCAATTTTACACAAACTCCATGTCTAATTTACTTTCTATTAAACACAAAGGAGGACTTAAGAGCTCTAGATGGAGACGTTTCCCCAAAAGGTGGGTCCTCAAAGTACAAAAGGGTACCAAAAGCAGTTTGGGTGTAAACACAACATCTAAAGACAAGGCAGCCTTCTTTGAAGACGGTTATAGGGATCCAGAATTCCAATTCACCACCCCTCAATCAAGAGGGAAGAGAGAAGATCACAAGGAGGGATAACCAAAGGGGACAATGGCTGATGGATTGGAAGAAGAAGGCCTGGGGAGTTCACTCTCACACTGACAAAGCTCAAAGCCTTCTTTTGCAACAGGAAGAAGAAATTCAACCAGTCTCTTGGAAAATGGTCCTGAAAGTCATAGGCGAATATGGGTGCTCCAGCTTACCTAGGGAGACCAGGTTACTGTAGTTTTCCAGCATCACATCCCAGTACAGCTTCCTCTGCACAGAGTCCAGACAGGCCCACTCCTCCTGAGTGAAGCCTATAGCCACATCAGAGAAGGTCACCAAATTCTGAAAACAGAAACGCACATACACCTGATGAGGTGGCAGGAGAGGCCTTCAGGATGAAGGGGGCATTGGCTGGCACTGTGTTAGCTGAAGATGGGGGCAGCATGAATGCCACATTCCGGACTGAGCTCTGCTGGGTTACTACAGAGTATGGCTTTGCAGACAAGGATCTGCCAGGGAGAAAATGAAACAATCTTCCCTTTTGTTCACAAGCACAGCGTGTTAGTGCCTGCTTAGTAAATTACCAATGGGGACGGGGTGGAGGATATTATGGCATCTTTATCCTATTATTTAAAAAAAATAAGTTCATCTTGATTCTGATTGTGAATGTGAACACATGCATGCCATACAATGTGATGGTCAGAACGACAAGTTGTCTGCTTATTGTGGTTTTGAATGTCAAACTCAGGTTGTCAGACCTTGGTGGCAAGTGTCTTTACCTGCTGGGCCGTTTCTAGCCACATCTTTTAGGTTTTTGAGACAGGGTCTTGTTATGTAGCCCAGGCAAACCAAGAGATTCATGATCCTCCTGCCGCAGACTCCCTCCAGAGTCTTAGAGATTAGAGATGTGCACGACTACATCCAGATTAGTTTTCTTTAAAAGTTATTTATTTGTGTGCATGTACATGTGCGACTGTGTACGGTCAGAGAACATGTGGGAGTCGGTTCTGGGGATCAAACTCAGGTCATCAGGCTGGGCAGCAAGCATCTTAATGATGAGCAATCCTGTTGTCTCCCAGATGCTGTTCTCTCCCTCCCCACTCCATGCTGGAATTCAAACCCAGGGCCTTGTGAGTGCTAAGTAAGCACCCCATCACTGAACTACACACCCGGCTCACCTTCTCTCTCTGGGAGTACAAGGGGTTGAAACCCGGGCATCATGCATATGAGGCGCTCACTGAGCTCAAGTCTCTGTTCTCTTCAAAAACAAACAATTTTATGTATATAAGTATTTTTCCTGCATGAGTCTGTGCCTCACATATATGCCTGGTACTTACAAAGGCCAGAAGAGGCTGTGGAATCCTCTGGAACTGGAGTTACAGATGGCTGTGAGCTGCCATGTGGGTGCTGGATATTGAAGCTGAGTCCTCTAGAAGAGCAGCCAGTGCTCTTAACCACTGAGTCATTTCTCTAGACCCTCTCTCTTTGTTCTTAGGAAAGAAAAATTTTTCCTTTTTAAGATTTTATTTTCTTAAAATTAATTAATTAATTAATTAATATTATTTAATTAATTTTGTTTTTTTGAGACAGGGTTTCTCTGTACAGCCCTGGCTATCCTGGAACTCATTCTGTAGAACAGATTGGCCTCAAACTCAGAGATCCACCTGTCTCTGCCTCCTGAAATCTGGGATTATAAAGATGTGCACCACTATGGTTTTTTTTTTCTTTTGGGAGGGGAGGAGACGAGTGTCTCTCTATATAGTCCTGGTTGTCCTGGAACTTGCTATGTAGAACAGGATGGCCTCAAGTTCTTTTAATTTAGGCTTTGCATATTCGAGTGTTCTGAATGCTCATGTCACTGAGCAGTCTCCCTTTGTAATGAATGAAGTATGAAAACATCTCTTCTTATAGACAGGCTAGGGAGACTTAAGCCTATTGGCGTCATATACTTGGCTGACTGACACAACTGTTAGTTCTTCCTTTCTCCTGTTCCTGACGCAGGGGACACTGGTACCAAACGACTAAGCATCATATGGCAGTCTGACAGGACCATCCAAAACCATAATGTGTGTTCTGGTTTCCATGGCAAGCATGTGGTTAGAACCCTATTCAGTACAGCGTCAGATTGATAAGCCTCACAAAGCTTGTATGTCAGCATATATGAGGATGAAGATCACTGGACATATTCCTTCTTACCTACCCAGAACATAAGACCAGTCCGCAGAGATGAACGATGCTTTCTCGTATGGTCCAGTGGGACCAGTACGTCCAACTAATCAGGCCACGGAAATGACAATATTTTACACATGGGATTTTGTTCCTTCATTGTCATGTTACTCTGGACCGAAAAGAAACTGAGCACACAGGAGACTCTCAAAAATAATTCAGTGACTGAGTAAACTCCTTATATGGGACTATCCTTCCCTGGCATAGGGAAAATTGGGAAATAGCTAAGAAGGTAAGACTTGCCTAGCTCTAGGTAATCATAGCAAGGTTCCCACCCCTAACTAATACCTTTTAAGAAGGAAGGAAATATACACTTACGCGCTCTATGGCTCTAGGACGCAAAGCTTTATCTGTCATCTTGGGATTTCTTCCACAATAAATGCAAAGTGTGAGAGGTGAGGGCTAGAGGAAAAAGTGAAAAATTAGAACCAGTGGCAGCTGGGTTCTCAAGTGACGTATAGCTTTTCTTGTCACATCCCGGTCTAGACACAACACAGTGAGGCACATCTGAGAGAGATTAGGAAGATTCTGGCTAAAAATCAAGAACATGAGAAAAAGGCATTTTACTTTTTTAGGGGAGAGGGGTGTCTCAAAGAGTATGTCTGGGAGAAATCTGGGATGCTGTAAAGAATCTGGCCTTGTCTCCAAACATCTGGCCTCTACCCCCAGATTTCAAGAGACAGTCTCCCTCTTACCTGATAAGAATGCTTTGCCGTGCTCTAGGCGGGGGCTGAGAAGTCTGTAAACACCAACTTGGTGAAGGGCTTGGATCACACAGCCACAGCGGACCTGGAGACTGAGATCAAGCATGTAGGGGGTTAGTCATTCATGCTAATGTGCTCGAACCCCTGCCAGCTGAATGTCAGATCTTGAGTGAGTGACAGTTACTAACCTCATAGTGTTTCTTTCCTTTTTGCTAAAATCGGAATAGAAAGATTATGAGATGTGGCTGTTCCAAATTTAAGATAATCTATCTAAAGCATGCAGCAATACGTAAATGATTAATATCTTATCTGTTACTAGTAAAGATCAAGAATTTTAGACAGCTCTTTATTAATTTTTTTCTTTGCTCTGGGCCTCAAGTCGAGTTTCTTGCACATGTTAGGGAAGTACCCCATCACTGAGCCACATCTCTAACCCCATTCATTGTTTGTCTTCTTGATTAATTAATTATTGTTTTTTGAGACAGGGTTTCTCTGTGTAATACACCTGGCTGTCCTGGAACTCACTCTGTAGACCAGGTTGGGCTTAAACTCACAGAGATCCACCTGTCTCTGTCTTCCAATAGCTGGGATTAAAGGTGTGCACCACCACCTGGCTATTTATTTGTTTATTTAGAGACAGGGTTTCTCTGTGTAGCCTTGGCTGTCCTGGACCTTGCTCCTAGACTATAGGCATGTGCGAGCAAGCTCATCTTTCCTTCTTGATGCTTAAGTTTGTGTTTTTTTAAACTGTTTAAATAAATGACATTAATGTCAGGTTTTCGGAGGTTGGTTTTCATCACGAAACACTTATATAACTGTATTCCATGAAGAAATGCATCCTCTCCATGAACAGCCAGGGGTCAGAGAAATTCCGAGTCAAAAATCAGCTAAGAGGCTGCATCCAGGGTTCTTTGTGATGGACCCACATCCCTAGCTCTGGATTCTATTCACCAACTAAGCTTTGGGGTCGTTTGTGAATTGACACAAATATTTAGGAGGATGCACTGCTCTAGAAACAAAACCCATGTATTCAAATGTAGGGGATCGAATTCATTCTTCATTCGTTCTTTCTTTTCTTCTTCTTCTTTTTTTTTTTTTAAAGAGACAGTTCTCCCAGACTGGCTTTGAACTCTTGATTCTCCTGCCTCTACTTCCCAAGTGCTGGGATCATAGATCTACATCACATAGAATTTATTTTTAATTTTTGAAAGAGAATTTCACTGTGGAGGCCAGGAGCCATTGTGACGAGCTTACAGCCCTGTGCTGCTGTGCTCATGGTCATTGTTCTTGATCATCCGAAGCTGTGTCTCTCTGTGAGCTTCTCAGCACCCCTCACTCTTACCTTCATATGTATGCTGCTTCTCATGGTTTATAAATACCCACGCTTACCATTATTCATGTGATAACCAGTTAGTATTTACTAACTGGTTATTTAAAGCTTGGGGTTATAAGCATGTTAATGCATTCTATCCTTATAATGACTCAATTTTCAAAAGGTCTCACCCACACAAAAGTAGGAGGAACCAGTTACAGGTCAAAAATTCTCTCTCATCTCAAATACTTTTTAATTAATATTATTATTATTATTGTCTAAGTGATACACTAAAGCAGGTCACTGGCTACTGCCCCAAATGGATACAATGTGGGTGGGTCACAAGACTGCATACTTTGCACATGGTGTAAGTGATGTTAGCACCTTTGACCTCATATATTCGTTTCTATGATATCTGCATTATCTTTAAAATAAAGAAAAACCATCACCATTTTTCTTTTAAAGTATGGGTATCAGCACCTCAACTGACCAATTCAGATCTATAAGGCAACATTCTCTAATCAAAAAGAGAAACTCACCTTTCTTTTAAGATGCCTCAAAGTCCTTCGTAGTGAAGACACAGTCTCTTTGGTTATCCTACAGGGGCTCTGTGGAGAACAGGTTAAAACAGAACACACACCCAGGGCTCAACTACTTTTAGACTATCAGTAAAACTGTGTGTTTTGGCTCTGAATTTCCCAGATACTTGAGGACCCGCCTTTAGTATTTCCTACCTGTAGTATGAGGAATCTTTGTATGCCTACAAAGGGGTCATCTATTTCTGTCATTTAGGAAGCCTGAATGTATATTGACTCCACCCTCCCACCGCTGCGGACCCCCCCTTTTCCACCCCCTTACAACCTCCAATGCCAGTCCGGTCTTCCTTATAGAGCAGTCAGGGGAATACGCACAGTGGCTCGGTATACTTCGGCAATGGTGCAGACCTTGTTTCTGTTCCACTCCACATTCAAGGTAGAAATGCTGCAAGTGTTCGCACAGAAGACTGCAGAAACCCGGACAGCACCTCGCTGTTGCAGTCAGTCCCTCACTGCAGGGCATACAGCCCCGTGGCCCCTGTGCACTTTCCTGCCGCGTTGTCAAGGCAACAGCTGGCAGTATCTGCAGCGTCCAGCAAAATGCCAGTGACGCCACACATATGTGCGTCACTCTTGGGGGCGGGCAGTCACCTTGGGACCCTACACAGGAAACTACGCCATCCCTACTTACCTCAGCCCAGTCAGTACAGGGCACATGTGCATGGAGTTCAGACTGGAGTAAGCACAGAATACGGGAGCACATACTCGGATCCAAGTGTGAGCTTACATGCAAACGCGTTCGCGCACATGCAAGGACACCACAGGCACACGCAGGCACACACCCACATACGTACATACACCCAGGCGGGTGGCACGCTCGCGCCACAGGACACACGCACGGTAATGTTATTGTTGCTGTGATAAAACACCGAGACTTGGGAGTATAGGGTTTCTTTATCTTACACTTCCATACTGTTGCTCATCCTAGAAGGAAGTCAGGACAGGAACACAAAAAGGGCAGGAACCTGGAGGCTTGGAAGAGCTGATTCAGAGGCCATAGAAGGGTGGTGCTTACTGGCGAGCTCAAGAGGGTTTATTCAGCATTATCTTTTGGGAGCCCAGAGATGGCACCACCCACAATGGTCTGGCTCCTCCCCCATCAATCATCATTTAAAAAAAATGGTCTACAGTCTTGCCTATAGTCTTAATCTAGGATGGGAAATTTTTGTTTTTCGTTTTTCTTTCTTTCTTGGAGACAGGGTTTCTTTGTGAAACTAACCTTGACTGTTCTGGAACTTGCACAGAGATTTGCTTGCTTTTATCTCCAGAGTACTGGGATTAAAGGCGTGTGCCACCACTGCAAGGTTAGAGAGGCATCATCATCTGATCTTCTTTTCTTCTTCTTCTTCTTCTTCTTCTTCTTCTTCTTCTTCTTCTTCTTCTTCTTCTTCTTCTTCTTCTTCTTCTTTTTCTTTCTTTCTTTTTTTTTTTTTTAAGACAGGGTTTATCTTTGTAGCCTTGATAGTCCTGGAACTGCCAAGAACAGATTCAAATTCACAGAGTTCCATATACCTTTAGCTTCCCAGAGTGCTGGGATTAAAGGAATGCACCACCACAGCCCGGTTTAGAGGCATTTTCTTAATCAAGGCTCTCTCCTCTCAGATGACATTAGCCTGTGTCAAGTTAACATACAACTAACTATTCAGCACAGTGAATATGACCAAAATACATTATATATAGGTAGGACAACATCAGCAAAAAAACCATTATTATGTATAATTAGTATTTACTGAGAAAAAGAAACAGTTTAGAGGCCTTATTCTTTATGTATGTTTTAACATGCTCAGATCTTTCTATTTTTTCTTAAAGACGAAGTCTGACTATGTTGTACTGACTGGTCTGGAATTCGGTATGTAGACCATGCTGGCCTGACAGGGATCCATCTACCTCTGCCCTCCAAATACTAGGACTAAAGATTAAATATAATATATCAAGGTTCAGTGGTTAAGAGCACTTGCTGCTATTATAGGGGACCTGGGTTCAATTCCTAGCACCCACATAGCAGCTCACGACCATCCACAACTCTAGTTCAAGGGGATCCAGCAATGACTTCTGACCTCCTCAGGCACCAGACATGCAATTGGTGCAAATACATACATTCTGACCAAACATTCACACTCAATAAAAATCAAAAAGTGCCCATGGCTCTTGTAGAGCAGCCAGAGGTCCATTGCCAGCACCCATTCTGCTTACCACCTCCTGAAAATGCAGCGGAGAGGTGGGGGTGGGGTGGGAAGTAAAGCTGATGCTCTCTTCTGGATTTTTTCAGGACCCTGTACTCATGCAAACATATTATCCTGTCCCCAGGATTAAAGAAAAATAAACAAACAAACAAACAACAACAATAACCACCAAACAAACTTGTTTGTACCTCTAGTTCCAGGAGCTCCAACACCCTCTTCTGTTCTCCTCCATAGGCATCAAGGACAAACAAGATGAACAGACATACAGGAGGCAAACATCCATACACATTAAAAAAAAACCCTAAAAATAAGAAGAAAATTAAAATAGGCAAATAAGTCCCAGAAATGCAAATATTACCTTCTACAATAGCAGGTGGACAGTAATGAAGTTCGGACAACCGAGAGTAGAACTGTGGTCACTGGGGCCTGGGAGAGTGGGGAGGACCTGTGCAGCTTCAGTTAGAGAGGAGGAGTTCATTCGGAAATCTGTTACGGAAATTGGAGATGCTCATGAAAAGCCGAGTCTAGCCTACTTGAAAACTGCTGAGTGAAGAATTTATTGTCCTCACAAATACGACCATGAGTAAGGGGAAGGATGGATTGTAGGTCAACTTGATTTAGTCACTCCAGAATCTATACAAATTTCAAAACATTGATTAATAATACATAATTTTTTAAAGATATATTTATTTATTATATAGTGTTCTGCCTGCAGGCCAGAACCAGATCTGGGAACCAGACCTCATTACAGATGGTTGTGAGCTACCATGCTGCTGCTGGGGATTGAACTCAGGTCTTTGTTGGAAGAGCAGCCACTGCTCTGAACTGCTGAGTAATCTCTCCAGAACAATACTACATACATTTTTGCCTTTTTTTTTAAAAAAAAATTCCGAGACAGGGTTTCGCTCTATAATAGTCTTGGCTGTCCTGGAACTTGCTCTGTAGACCAGGCCTCTAACTCACAGAGATCCACCTGCCTCTGCCTCCCCAGTTCTGGGATTAAAGGCCTGTGCCACCACCACTCCACCACCACCACCACCACCACCACCACCACCACCAC